AAAAGCCCCCCCCCCAAAAAAAACACCCATCAGATCAAATGATAAGCTTCTTCTTTACTAGCTTGCTACTGCCAAAAATACTTTATTGTCTCCATGGGTCAGGAGGTTGGACAAACCAAGCTATGGAAAAACAAAGGCCCTTTCCAGTTTCTATGGATGCATCATCTCCCATAATATAGGCATTTGATACATGCCTGGTGATACAAGGAAGCAGTGTATCAGATTTCCTTTATAAGAGCTCTAAATGATTAATGAAAGTAGAAGGAAAGTGCAAGGCTGTACCTTGCTTTTTTCATTTCAGTTTATACCAGCTGGTGAGAGGGGAAAGCGATTGAGAAATATAGATGTGGCACATAGCTACCTTTTTTGCAGCTGCGTCAGAAATGAGATGTAAAACTTTTATCTAAATTATTAACAATATACATAAATAATTCTCAATTATTAACAATAAAACATGGATTTAGTGTGTAATGCTCTAGAAAAGATATGACAAGTAGAAAACAGCCATTCTACTTAACATAAAGTATTTATGGAAAAGATGTACAATGACAGAAACTTCACTCTCTTAACAGTGCATCTACTTTTATGCATTATGTATCCTTCTACTTTTTTTTTTAAGCTTACATTTGTTTGCAGACTCTGGCCTAAATCTAATTGCTAGTCCCCAAAAGAATAAACCTAACCACTCAATTGTTGGATGGTCAATCAACACTTATATAAAGTCTACTGACTCAGTGGATCACCGTAAGTTAGTTCTAACCTGACAGCACCTAACTAAGTATTCTATCTGGGACTTTTATCTGGCTTCAGGTTTTTATGTTGTGGTCATTGTTATTATTATTTCCCATTGTACCACTTCTGACTTGGGCATCTCATTCATCTTGAAACCTGAATATGTTTTCAAGATGAATGAGATGCCCAAGGAATCTTTTACTATTGCCCCTCCCCACACACCCCTAATGAATTTCTGGGGCCAATCAAGGGTTTTGATTTCAGTCTCCCAAGCCCCACTCTAGCACTTCAGGTCATGCTGGCTTAAGGAGGTACAGGCAAGCCAACCAATACAATTTGCCCATAACTGCCTCTGATTTTCTCTTGCCACTTTACAGTTTGGGTCAGAGCTTGTCTGCAATTCTGCACCCTGCCTCTTAGAAATACCTCTGAACCAACATAGGATTAGAGGATTCATCTCTAAACTCAAACTAAATTTTAGACCAAATACATGTCCATGAGGATGAAAACTGCCTAACTTTGACTGACATTGGCAGTAATACAATAGTAGATGTCAATAACTCAATAGAACTCAAAATAACATGCGTGCTTAGGACTGAGGCTGTCTGTCATTGGCATGATCTGCCATTTAAAAAAAAAACCACATTTCAGCCTTTTTTAGTCCCAATTTTATAAAACTAGCTGAATAGACAGTCACTTAGGCTTCTGGCTGTGGAGCCGAACGTTGGGAGTTTGATTCCCTGCAGGGCTTCTGTGAGAAGAGCCAGACTGTGTGGCCTTGGGAAAGCTGTACAGTCCCAGAGTGCCCTCAGAAGAAGGGAATAGTAAACCACATCTGAGTACTCTATCCCTAGAAAACCCCAAAAAGGGTAACCATAAGTTAGAATTGATTTGACTGCCCATATGATCGCTGTTATTATGTTGAAATTAACCTCAGAATGTATGTTTGATGCTATCCATTTACTTGAACAGTTGTCCCTTTCAGTATATTCATTACAGTAGGACTCCCATATCCATGGGATCAATATCAGTGGATAAGTATATTCACTTATACACGATCTGAAAATATTAAATGAAAATACCTAGAAATATGGATTTTCAAAATGTAATTGTCAGAACTGGCCACTAGAGGGAACCAAACAGTATGTTATATAGGCAAGCCGCTGCCATTTTGCTTAGTCTCCCGTCAGCTCAAGGCAGCTTCGGCTTCCTTCCAGAGAAGCGTCACTGTAAAACTCAGCTGGGCTGGCTGGCGAGGCCGGACAAGAGATGTTAAGCCAAACTGCTTCCTGGGAGAGGTTTCCCACCTCCTGCTCTTCCTGCCTTCCAGCCAACACCTTCCTCATCACTCCCTGAAAAAGAAGGGAAAGAACTCCTAATCGTCTTTGGAGAAAACCCACAGAACCACTGAGACTGTGTGGTGTGTGGGAGAGAAAAAGAGACAAAGACAGTCATCTTCAGTCTTCAGCATGTTGAGAATGGGAGAAGATTTTAACTCGGCTTTTACTCACAGAGAACCCATCAAGTTAGAAATTAGAGGCAGACGGAGTCCTGGGTCCTAGCTATAATACATGCTTTTCAGTATTCACGGAGGGGGCTTGAAATCAATTTCCCACAGATATGGGGGTCCTACAGTATTTAATTCTCTTGCCCTGTTTAAGCTAACAAGGCTGCTATTTTACATCCATTTACCTTGCTGGGGGCAAGCCCAGTAATCCCACTGAACTCAATAGGCCTTAGTTTTCAACAGTCATGTACAGTACAGGCCATGCTGCCTGAGGAATTCTAAAATACACCATCCAAAAAAAGCAACTTTTCTGCTCTCTAGTCCCACCCCATCTATACAATACCCCCCAAATTATGTACAGAATTCATTCCCATTTCAGAGCTCAGTATCACTATGGGGAAATTCCTGCTGACTGCTAAGTTAGATATGTCATGTGCTGTCAAATCGGAACCAACTGATAGCAACCCAAACAGGGCTTTCAAGGTAAGCGAGATATTTAAGGAGTGGTTTTAGGTCAATATCCTACCCCTAATGGCTGAGCAGGGATTCAAACCCAGGTCTCCTGAGTCCTAGTCCATCACTCTATCCACCATGCCACACTGGGTAATTGAACGCTGTAAGCCTTAATAATAATTAAGTGCTGCAAGTCCATTTCAATTTACAGCAACCTGTTACAGGATTTTCTAGGTATAAAATACACAGAAGTGGTTTACCATTCTCTTCTTCTGAAGGTGCTCTAGGAGTGTACAGGCCTGCACAGGTTGATTTCTCCTACAATGCACAGTAGGAACCAACTTCTGCCTCTGCAGCCAGGTACCCTTACCTGCAAGTAAATATGCTCAAGGACAAGCTATGAGATTCCTACCTATCTATGTTGACAAGACAGATGAAGTTTCATGCTGATCTGAAGCATCCCTTAAATAAATTACTGGAGAGATAGCACAGAAACAGCTATGCATCATACTTTGCTTTGTTTGCCCAAGCAACTTCCAAGGAACTATGGAAATACCATGCACAACCCAACTCAGTTAAGACACATTTAAGTTCCCTTCAATGGAAGTGGATTCAACACAAACAAATAAAGAGGGCTTAGGTGTGCTTTGCTTTGGCTAGATCATGTCTGTTCATTATTCTTTATAGACACTACATTCTTCCTAAATGACTAGATGAGAAGTTGATGGACTACAATAAAGATACTCCTCTGTAAATGAATATGTGAAATGGAATTACTGGAATAAATATTAAATTTTAAAAGAAAAATAATGAAGTGGAGTAAGTTTCCGTTTCTGCTGGAGATCATGAAGCCTTAGAGGGGAATTCTATACTCAGTTACTTGCAATTAAGCCCAGCTGAACTCAGTGGGACTTCCTTCTGATTGAATATTATAAGACACTGCTACCAGATTTGCAATCCATTTGCAATAGCAGAGATGGACCATGGATAACATGCAGCAATAATGTATTTATTCCTTACATCTGAGTCTGTGCAAAGTGCTTCTCTCATCACTAGCATTACTCATTTAATATCAAACAACAGTGGCAACTGACATGATTTTAAGGCATCACTCTCAAACACTCTCATACTTGAGAAATTAAAGAATTTTATGACAAATCTTAACTAACTGGCTACACAAGAGTTGCTGTAGGAAAACAAAAAAATTAATGATTTATATTGTGCAAGAATATTGTTTTTATGGCTGGCCAGTGACTATTTTCTGCTAAGCCAATTGCCAGCCAGGGATGAAGAGAGGAAATGTTCTTCAATGACAGCCAACAGCTTGAAGTTTAGTACCTGTTTGCCTGTTTCTGTTTTCCCCAAATGGACAACTGATCCACAGAGTTCAGTCTGACCAATGTTCTGTGAGGAGCTGTTAACAAAGCAGCTGACAGTGCTTCAATTTAGCAGAGAGCAGCAAAAAGAGCTGCATGTTGAACTGGACTGGAAGCAGAATATTTGGAGGTGATCTCTAGAAAACCCAGTACCTTGCAGTAAAAAAAACCACCTGCATCCCCTACCTTGTGCTTTCATAACTACAGAAGTGACTCAGATCACAAGTAGCCAGTGCATGCTCCTTTAAAACAAACGAAAGCTGCAGTCCCATACATGAGCTCCACCGAACTCAAATGAGCTTACTTCTGAATAGACATATGATCGCACCCTCAGTACCATAGTGCTATCCCTATACAGTACTTCTCACCACCAACAAGACTATCCATCGCAGTAGGAATAAAATTACGCAAGGGTGGGAAGGCACTTTTTTTCCCCAGTAAACGGGATGCTTAAATCCATGAAGAGCCACCCTTCGTAGTTCAGAGTGCATGAACTATACCGTTACGTGATAAAGAATGTATAAGCGCTGCAGTTCGCCTATTTCACACATGCACGGTACATTGTATTATGACTCTCAAATATTTCTCCAAATTAAACTTTGGCCCGAAGAAGAACAGAAGCCGCCCGGTCACAACTCCAACTCGAGGAAAGAGTGCGCGTCCTTCGCCTGCTTCTTTTTCCTCCCCTTTCATCATTTCTAGATTTGACCCCTGGTTTGGCCCAGAGACTTCAACAAGCATCTCTAGCGCTCGCCTTGCCCCGGGAGGGGGGAGGACACCGCTTCGCCCCTCCTTCCTTCGTTCCTTCGTTCCTTCGTTCCTTCGTTCCTTCCTTCGTTCCTTCCTTCCCTCCCGCCTCCCCAGGTGCCCTGCTTTCCCGCTCGCCGTCGCCCTTCCCTCCGCACCGCTTCGGAACCCCGCTGTCCGCTTACCGCCTCAGTCAGGGTTATCCGCGCGCGCCTCACCTGACAAACGGGGCGCTTTTTGCCCGGCAGGGGCCAGAGCCGCACGCGCCGTCGCACGCGCCAGAACTTTGCTGCCAACGTTTTGGGGGGGGCGCGGGAGGCGGGGGGGGGGGGCTCCAGCAGCGCGCGCGCCCCCCTCGCAAACCCCGGTGGGCGCTCTCGCGCTCTCTCAATCCCCTGGCGCACGCGCGCTCGCTCGCTCGCTCCAGAGAGCATCATACACGCACCCCGCCCAGCTTTCCTTGCTTGAGCTGGGACAAACGGCACGGGAGCCACGAGGTCACGTGGGCAGATGCTCCCTTTGAGCGGGGGAAGGATTAGGGTCTGTGTCTTGGAGGAAGGCGCCTGAAGAGAAGGCGCGCTTCCTCCCCGAATCGATCATCTCCTTCTTCCTTTCGTCTTCCCCACTCCACGCTTCGCCCGTGCACGGAACTTTATTTTTAAAGACATTTAAACGTGCATTCTAGGACACATACTGACTTTACTTTTGCACCCTTGAAATGTAACGAACTATAGAAACTATGAAGACTGCCTGTTATGTAAATCAATAATAATTAGGTACTGCACTGTCAAATCAATTCCGAGTTGTGAAAATCCTTTTTTTAAAGGGTTTCCCAGGTATAGGGCACTCAGAAGTGGTTTACCCTTTCCTTCTTCTCGGTGTCGGTACTTGGGGGCTGTGCAGCTTGCCCAAGGCTACACTTGCTGGTTGGTCTCCTGGGCGGCACAGTGCCAAATGGAATTCCCAGCCTCAATTTTGTGGAGGGTTCCACCTTTCTGTCTGTTCTCCCCAATCCACTGTCTTCCTTCCTTCTTCTCTTGTCTCCTCCATATCAGCTGTCAAAAGAGATTTCCCAGCCCAAAATTCCTTTAAGACAGAGACCAAGATGAGGGAGAAGCAGGGCTGTAACTAACCATTTTGACACCTGGGTCAAGTGGCACTGTGTCACATACACACACACCTTTCCACCATGAGGCACTGATATAAAGTCCTTATGAACAAGAAGAAGGCAAAAATGCGCGCATGCGCACGCGCGCGCACACACACACACAAAAGAGACACTGCGTTATTTGATGCATATAACAATGCATCAAATAATAGATCACAAATCGTAGATTTATGACTTACAAGTGTCTGATAAAATACATAAGCATTCCCTAACATGTAATCTACTAGGCAGTGACAATTTCTGTCTGATAAAATACATAAGCATTCCCTAATCTACTAGGCAGTGACAACTTTAAACAGAGGAGTAGTCCTTAACTGTGCACTGCTTTGTTGAATGAATGCTAAACTATCTAATATACATTATCTGTTTAGTTCCCAGTACATATAGCTGAATATTGTTCATTGTTAAGTATACAGTATTTATAGCTGAATATTGTTCATTGTTAAGTATATTGAAGTTTCACTTGAATTCAACATAATTTACACGTAGCAGTGGAAAGAAGACTTGCAGGTACACTAACCCAACCCCTACCTGATAGGTAAGACTGCATAAAATCGCAAGCTGCCTACCTATCCTTTATTTTCTTTGTAAGGTTGCAGCTACACAGTGGGGGAAAATGTAAGCTGATCTGCTGAGATTCACATCCAAGTTTGCAGGAATTAGCAGGGATGGAAGCAGAATCAGGCTTAACAGGGTGCTCACAAGTGCTGATCGGCAATTTCCACTGCCTCTTTCTCTTTCCTTGGTCTCCTAAGTATTCTAGTGAAAGCCTGTTTCAATGCAGAGGTTAAACTTTAAGAAAAGAGAAAGGAACAGTTTGGAGAGAAGGGATACTGGGTTGGGGGAACTGACACCCCCTTTGTTTTGGATCAAGTGGTCACACTTGAAAAAGTGGACAAAAATTATGTCCAATCGATCACAAAAAATATTAAAGCACCCCTTCCAACTGAACAAGAATAAAAAAATGGTTCCCCAATAAAAAAATACAATTCCACAACAGGTTTTCCCACATTTAGCTTTACACCCTGTCGTCTCTAGGTCTTTGTTCAAATTCTTCAGTGATCAATCTCGTATAAATTGCAGGGTAAATGGCCAGATTATTCTTCAGGATGGAGGTGCAGTAACAGGAGAAGCATAATCATCCCAATAGATGCGTGGCACATAGCTGCCGATTGCACAGGAGCAGAAACAAAGGTGCCACTTTTATCGGAGAGTTTATGTGGAAAAACTCCCATTCTAAAAACCCATTTAAAGGCAAGCATTTCCAACTTAGTTCCAAGTGAATGTGCCCAGGACTGGGATCCTACTAATCATTTAAGGACTTAATGTTCCTTCAAAAAATTGAGCATGTGACAAACTCACATTAAAATAGGTAAGAATGCAAGTTTTTCTGTTGTGCCATGTGCTACTTTTACCGGACTTCGTATCTCACAGGGTTGTCACGAGAAATGCTGTCTTGCCTATTTAAAAGGAGCTTAAAGATAAGCTTGAACAAACACTGAAGGTTGGTGCATACTTCAATGGTGGAGGATGCTACAGGGTTATCTGCAGTGCTGACATCTTCATTGTGTGAGCAATTGCTTGGGGATAGTTTAAAAAAGTTCATAAAGTCAGAAATTGTGATGAAACCACTAGAATCTAATCTATCAGATGTAGAAGGCAATTTCTGAGATAGACAAGGCTGGATGGGGACTGCCAAAGAAAGCCAGTTCATAACTGGCTGCTAACAATTTACTAAGAAATTTTCCATGGATTTTAATTACAAGTCTCTTATAGTACCCAAAAGATGGATAGTGCAATCCGGTGCATGTTGACTCAGAAGTACGTAAGTCCCACTGAATGTAATAAAGCTTGCTCCTAGGTAAGTGGACATTACAAACTCAGAAATGTATTCACTGGCATACTGTTTCATGGGCCACAACCCACTTTATTATTTTATTTCATTGGAATGTGTTTACAGCAAAATGTTTAGAGCAGAGCTTGCTCACTACCTTGTGACTTTTAATTGGTGCTTTAAAAAGCTATTAAAACACAGCAGCTTTTGAGTGCTTTAGACTGCAGCCCAGTCCTACACTTTCCTCAGAATTCAATGTTCATTGGTGTTTAATTGTATTTATGAGTTAAAATATGTACGTATACCTTATCCCTGACTTTTTGTCACAGAGAACAGCCAAAGCAATAATCGCAATGAAAAATCAAAGAAAGTTCAGAATTGCAGAAATGAATCCTCAGGGTAACTCTGTGGAAATCAATATGTACCGTCTCCCCTATGAAATGTGTGTGTTTCATCATTTGTACAGAAGGTCAGGAATGACAGAGGCCAAGGCAGGCCCAGGACAAGAAGGGTGTTCTACAGTTTGTATTACACTGATCCAAAATATCCTGTTTCACAGACATACTTATCACCAGATTTCAGGCTGCGGAGATAGAAGTCAGAGAGCAGGGGTTCTAATGCAGCTTTCAGTATAAGGATACTTATTATTTGCTTATGTATATGTTTATGTTGCTTATGTATATGTTAGTCTACTCTGGGCGGTTAAGAATAAAAAATAAAATAAAACAATATAATAAGCCCCACACCCCCTGATGACCTCACCCAGCAGCCTCATGTAGATATTAAACAGCACTGGGGAGATAATCGAGCCCTGCGGAACCTCACAATTGAGGCTCATGGGGGTGAAACACTCTCCCCAAGCTGTACTCTCTAAAGACAGTCCTCCAAAATGGATTGGAGCCAGGCAAGTGCCAGACCATTGATTCCCAGCTCGGAGAGCCTCCCCAGGAGAATACCGTGGTCAACAGTATCGAAGGTGGCTGAGATATCGAGGAGGACCAACAAAGACATTTTGTCCCTGTCAACCTCCCTCAGCAGGTCATCGAACAGGGTGACCAATGCAGTTTCCATACTGTGGCATGGCCTGAAACCCAACTAGAATGGATCCAGGGCATTGGTTTCATCCAAAAGAGCCTGAGTGGAGCTGGTCAGCCACCACCCTCTCCACCACTTTGCTAAGGAAAGAAACATTGATGACGGGCTTATAATTGCCAATATTGGCCACTGCCAGACTTGGTTTCTTCCTTATGGGAAGTTGAAAGATTCCTCCCAACTGGTTCAGGTAGCAGTCTCCAAGCAGTGCACACAGGGAAGGAGGTTCTGGCTGTGGTTCTAGGTGGAGAAGGAATCTGCCCAGCTACTAGAGACAACGTGGGAAGAAGCAGAAAGATACTGGGAAGGATACTTTTAGCAATGAGGTATACACAGAGTTTGTAAATGAGAGTTTACGTCCCACTTGGCAAAAATGGTATGGAAGGGCATTGTATTTTTCCAGGATTCCAACATGAGTGCCAACAGTCTATCCCAGCACGTGGTATAAGCTAGCAAGTCTGATTTTTCTTCTTCCAGTAGCCAGTTGACTTCATTGGGGTTGTAGGTACATGTCTGCTTCCTGATGACACCAAGCTGAAGGGAGACCTCACAGTTTGCTCTAAAGAATCCCTAGTTTATCACGCCCCATTGAGCAACTTCAAGTAGACAGCTAACAATGTAAGGTTATCTTTAGGTCACCTTATATGGCAAGAATAGGACCTTCTATTGGTCTCAGAGTTCTAGGCCTGCTGGATTTCATTGTAAAGTAAACTAATGAGAGAAAACAGTCAGGTAATGAGATTATACTCTACACTTTAAACCGCAGCCCTCTGTTAATGCTTGAAAACTCTCCCTATCATTAAAAAAGGAAACAGGGAAATCCATTTTATGCCTCACAATTGATTGACATAATCAGAAACTATACTTTTATTTTCTTTTTTCTGAGGTATTGCTATGATTTTTCTACACGGGTACAACATGGTGACGTTAATTGGGAGTCAAGGATTCTTATCAGGTCTTTCAGTTTGCTTCATCAGATTTAAACTTAGTTTTCTATTTAATATTGTTTTGCATTACACCTGTTAGTTTTCCTCCCAGAACAGGACAGAGGACATGCTGCACAAGTAACACCCGGATAATTATGACACTGTTCCATCAAGACAAGCCATACTTAGAAAATCAGCAAGTGTTCGATGGAACAGGATGTGAATGGGGCTTAACTTCACTTTGCACCAAGCACTGGAGACACTGAGAAGAGCAATAACAATTCTGCGAGCCTCTAGGATTTTTGCACAAAGACTGGACCATCCTCATTTGACCTAAGTCCTCTGCACTTACCAAAGAATTTGAAAAATGTATGGTGGGTTTCATGGCCACCAAATGGTCAGTTATACATTTGTAAAAAAAGAAGCAATGCACCACCCATAATGAGACAAACAAACAAAACACAAAAAAAGTAAGTTTGTATTTAGTATATATTTCAGGAAATTAATTCACAGAGGGTGCAGGAGAATAGGATGTGTAAAGTGGTTTACAGAAATCCCTTCAGCTAGATTCCATGTATACAGGATCTGCTGACAGCAGGGATTAATATATATCTGAAGCTGTCAAGAACAAACAGGAAGTGACTTCAGAGTGAGAAGGAGGGGAGAAAAAAAATCCTGTTAGAGAGTACCATTGTGCATAGAGATACCAGAAAAGACAAGAGGGTGGTTGTACTGGCTATCTGCCTGCCCATACCTCCTCCAGTTCAAGTTGATTGCTGATTGTGTGGATGGTGTGTGCCAACAGGCTGGAAGGTTTGGTGGTGCTATAAAAAGAAAGTAAACCAGTCAAGTATTAATTATTGTTCTACTTCAGTGGTTCTTAACCTTGGGTTACTCAGGTGTTTTTGGACTGCAACTCCCAGAAGCCTTCACCACCAGCTGTGCTGGCTGGGGTTTCTGGGAGTTGCAGTCCAAAAACACCTGAGTAACCCAAGGTTAAGAACCACTGTTCTACTTCCTTGTGGATTTCTGCCTTACATAGCTATATGTTTAAAACCGTTTTTGTGGTTCTCTTCCAAAGAAATAGATTGTGTTCCTGTTCTAACACTAATTTGGAAAATATATTTGCTCTCGTTGCTTATATAGAATGTCCCTGTACCTTTGCTAGCTACAAGCTGGTGTAGTCTACCTAGGACAATATATTTGCTCCTGGGCTCGAGTATCAAGGAGGATGTAACACTGCCACTTTCTCAGACGCTTTGTTGTTTGGGGGGGGGAGAGCTATTAGCCAAAAAGATAATGTTCCCTTCTATTAGCAATATTGTCAAATATCCCAGGCTATTAAGATCAGAAGAGTAAATCAGTGAGCATTAAAGTGCTGACTCGGAAGGAGGCTTGTCACTGAAAATGATCTATTTACTTCACTCGCCAAGGAGCTGAAGCTTTCCTCCTTAATTTGTTCCTTAGTTCTATATCAGTTCATAAATGTTCTATGTGTTCTATATATCTTTCCCCCAGAGGAGCGCTGGTATATTTTGACTGAGGTTTCAGCCACAATACTTTCGTTGTTGTTTTGGAAGTATGATAATAGATAGTCCTTTGGCACAGTGAATGTCCACTGTTACAGCCACATGCTAGTCCCCCAGATGTTGTGAACTATATGAAAGTGTTTTTTAAATATCCTACCTTCCTGAAACCAATGAAGAGTAGCAATGAGGTGTAGTGAATGCAGTGCTGGATTAGTACTCAGGGACTTGAGTTCAAATCCCAATCAGGCATGAATCTCACTAGGTTACTTCTAGCCAATTGTACTGTCTCAGCTTGACCTCCCTCGCAAGCTCATTGTAAGAATGAACAAGTAAGGAAGAGAGCCATGCATGCTGCCTTGAGATTGTTGGAGAACAGGGAATTTATATAATAGATCAAATAAATATAATAACTATACAGTGGTTGTTGTAGGTTTTTTGGGCTCTTTGGCCATGTTCTGGAGGTTTTTCAGCCAAATAGCCCAAAAAACCTACAACAACCATCAGATTGTGGCCGTGAAAGCCTTCAAAAATAACCATTCCTCTAATGAGGAACTAACAGGCCTTCAAATGTATCCATCAAAATTCTTATAAATAAGATTTTCTTGACTTGTTCAATCTGTTTCTTTCTATATTACAATATGTGTGGCTTCGCTTCCCCATGTTGCCATTGGTGCTACATAGGATATGGGGAATGAGGACAGGATATGGGGAATGAGGACAGGTCTGGTTTGACTTGAGTATACCACGGTTGGACCTGCACAGCATGAATTTAATTTGTCCTTTCCCTAATGCCCTCACCTACAAGGTAGAAACTGTATCTATCAAGTGCATAAATCTCACATCTGCCTCATACTGTATAGTTGCTGCTTTCTTGAGACCTAAATATAGTTTAAGAATGGGACCAACAGGAGTGAGAGAAAATGAGCAGCCTGGAGGTGAAATCTAGTCAAGGAATCAGATTCTGGTTTTGCATTTTAGGTCCTGTTTCAGCATTTTATTAGACGTTGGCAAACAGGCACAGCTATATAGTTTAGTACTGTCTGCCCATGGCCCAGGCTCTTCTTCCATGTGTGCATATAGTGTATTTGTAAGTCAATCAGATTTTAGTTAATTATATGCTACCTGGCTAGGGTTTTCAAGATGTAAAGTATAAGAAGTGGTTTATGAGTTCCTCCTTCCAGTCTTGCTCTAGAATTGTGCAGCTTGCTCAGGATTAGGCCAGGGGAGGGTATGTAACCCGTACACATTTTGGGTGATCTCAGCTGGATTCTCATCCAAAGGCAGAGGGGGGAGTCAAGGTCCTGGTTCCTGGTTATCTAGGCAGGCACTCCTATGTATTAATAAAGAAACTCATAGATTTTTAGGCAAATACAAAAGAAAACTTAAAAAAATAAAGAGGACAAAAACACTGCAGTACCTTAAAGACTAACTGCTTTATTTTAATATGAGCTTTCCTGGACAAGTCCATTTTCTCAGACATCTAAAGCTCACATTAAAATGTAGCAGTTAGTCTTTAAGGTGCCACAAACTTTTCGTGTTCTTTTCTTTGTTTTTCTTTTGGTTTTGCCTGATACGGTTAGTTAGCACAAACTAACTCAGCTACCTTTTCATACATTTTCAGTAATCCCTCATCGTAGTGCAATCTTATGCATATTTACTCTCAAGTAAGACCTGTTGTGCTTGCTGGTACTTAGACCAGCAGCCTGGGCAACTTTCAGAAATCTGAGAGTAACACACAACCACTCCTGGGTTTTGCAGAGCCGCGTCCCCCTACTCCATCCTCCCCCCCCCACCAGTATTTCTCTTTCTAAAAGATTTAATGGGGTAACCCTACATAATATGACAAAATAACCTCCTATGCCCCCTAGAGGGCACAAGTGAACTTTCTGAGCAATTTCTAAAATAATATTTGGAAGGGGGTCTGAACTTCTCAGCCAGGAGGTACATGTAAAGGATTGCATCCTTGAAACATAACATAACTCATAAACATCAAAGAGAAGGACATACAAATGAAAAGGTGGTTTTCAGGTGTATGCTTTTTCTTTTTCTCTTTTATTCATTTTTCTCTTGAACTCTTATTTTCTGTACCCCTCTTATTTTGAATAGTGTGTGCTGATGAAAACTTTTTTAAATTATTTAAACTCTGTGGTATATCTAGGCATTCAGCCCATTCATAATGTTGGTGGGGGGACAGAAAAGGATATTGAATGTGACATTGTTCTTTGCCTAGCAAACCGAGCTCATAGTGCCTAAGGCAACTGGCCAGAACAAGTCAGTCTGTGTAATTATGGATAAATCCATGTCTTTTGCCATTTCTCTCCCCCGCCCACCTCTTCTCACATGCAGCTTAGCCAGTATTAAAACATCTTCCTTTCTTAACACCTTCCCCCAGAGATGGGGAATGGTGTTCAGTTTACAGGAGCTGTTTTCTATTCATCTGCCATGCCTGTGAATGTACCTTGATAATAGGTAAGTCTCCTTGAAGGAAACTGGCTATAAATAGGATTCCTTGATACTGTGTAATCTTCTTACAGGCTGTTTTCACTTGTTCCTTCTTTCTGACTTTGTTTGCTGGGTGAAGTAAAATTAGAATTTCAAGGAAACAAACTAGGAAAAGAAGTTTTGGTTATTGTTCCCATTGCAGGCCAGTGTCACTTGAGAGTAAAGACAAGCTACCAAAGACAGCAGTGGTGAGAAACGTGGGCACTGCTTATGTAGCGTGGTGGCAAAATGAACAAACTTATGACTTGACCCAGCAAGAACCATGTTCCAGTGTAATTTCAGCCATGACCTCCAAAGGATGACTCAGAGGAATACAGATACTGTATAACTATTTCAGAGAATGGTTGTTGTGGGTTTTTTGGACGTGTTCTGAAGGTTGTTTCACCAGTCTCTGTGGCCGGCATCTTCAGAGGACAGCACTCTGTGCTCTGGTGTAGTTTGCTTGGGAGTGGAGCATTTAGGCATCTGCCTTTCTTAACACCTTCCCCCGGAGATGGGAAATGGTGTTCAAACACTCCACTCCCAAGCCAACTATACCAGAGCACAGAGTGCTGTCCTCTGAAGATGCCGGCCACAGAGACTGGCAAAACGTTAGGAAGAACAACCTTCAGAACATGGCCAAAGAGCCCCAAAAACCCACAACAACCATTATTTCAGAGAAGTTGAGATGATACAGAACTAGTCTCATTGCCTTTGGCATTGGTGCATCTTTTGTCTCTACGAAGAGTTCTCCAGGACCAGTTATGTGGGATAGTGAGAATTACATTCCCCAAAGCAATAGAATGAGGGGTGTGTAGCTCTCTGATATTGCTCGATTTGTGTGTCATGAACATCAGCCGTTGCATCATATGGTCAGTAAAACAAAAAACAAAACAAAAACAACACCAACACTTTGAATTCAGACATTTTATAAATGCAGCAAATCCTGTGGTATTTCATTTGTGACTGTAGTTGCAGTCACAGTCACAGCTGAAAGATTTTTCAGGCTTATATGTTCTACAATCTTCGCCAGCTTTGACACTCTTTCCTGCTGCTATTGAACAATGAGCTCCATGGTCAACACTGAAAGGCAGCAACACTGAAAGGCAGTTCAGAAATAAAAGACAGTGGGGAACCTTGACGTTGGTGAAAAGGACATGCTGTTTTCTGCCCCACTTCCTGGCGTTTTTTAACAATGTGGACAATGTGCATTCTCCTAAGTGCTCATGCTGGTGAATACATGTTTTTAGAAACTAGACTTCCAGATATTTGGCCATATGCTTGAACTTTTTCCAGAGCATTCCTTAGAATGAAAAGCATGGAGAGTAAAACCTACATAGTTCATGAGAGCTTTCCTGACATTTTTCACAGTGTGGCTTTTCCCCACCCCTAAAGTGCAGTTGAATTAAAAATTTCTTAGAACATGCTTGCAGCGAGTGGTAATACCCTGTGAGTAGTGAATATGGTGGTTGAATGTCTACTCGCAGTCTCCCATCCACACCTGTTAAATCAAAATACTATTTGCAAATAATTATTACAGTATCTATTCACTGTAAGAGAAGCTTTGTCTGCAAAATTGTTGACTGGAAGCATTATAATATTGCAAACAGAGTTATGAGAATTCTACTTACAACATTTCCTTTTTGAAGTTATGTGCCTACACCATCAAGGGCTCTGCTTAATATTCTCTCTTAAGTTGATTCTGCAGCGAATCGGAAACAAATAAATAGAGAATTGGCACTACATGTTTATCTCTAATTGTTCTTCAGGTCAACAATGAACATGTGAAAGAAAAAAAGAAGTACTTACAAGATGTGGCACACCATATCTAAAGCATGCGGGTTTAAAATTGTCATGTAATAATTCCATGCTATATTGTTTATTTGGGTAAAAGGCGTGGCAATTCTGGATATGTGTGGACAAGCAGTACCAGGATAAGGCCCAAAGCATCCCAATGTACTCACCAGCAAATACTCCTGCCCCATGTGTAGATGCTAATACCGAGATGACCTATTCAGATCTGCAACAAAGAATACCAGAACTACCCAGAACAACCCCATAATAATCAGGAACAACATCACGGTGCCGATGAGACCTCTGTTTATTTCTCACACTGACTCACAGGAAACATTTAACATAATACCTTGTTAGAACCTCACACTAATAACATTCCCTCAAGGCATCTATCTCTCTTACCACCTTGCAGATTCAGCCTTCTGATTTTAAAGTGCACTCCTTTAGCTCTGCCCTTTCCACCATTGGTCTTTTTCAAGTCAACGGTATAATTCTTTTATACTATGCAACTGTTTTAAGTTCTATAAACCAGACAGAAAAGTCCTTTAAATCAGTGCTTGGGTCAGGCCCAGAATCTTTCTGAGCAGTGATATAACTGTACATGAAGTACCCCATGGACATGCTTCTTCTGAACAACATGTGCCACATGTAGATCTAGCCAATGACATTATTAAGGATCCCAGACTCTAACAAAGGAAGGACAAAGTGACTGCATCAACAAAAGCAACAACTGTGATGAAATTACATTGGCCAGTGAGTCTTCTGACCATTTTGTCTCATCCTTTCCTCAGTCAATATTTGCTTCCCTTATCTATTTTTTTTTACTCCAGCACTTGGATACTTGTTACTGCCAGTTCACTGTTGCTGAGAAATATTAAGACGTAGTGTTGCCAGTTCACTGCTGGCAATTAAATAAAGAAGGAGTTGATTGAAATTGGATAGCTATAACAGATATTCTGAGGAGGCCTTTCTCTCGGCTCCACCAGCTTCCCAACCTCATTTGGTGAAGTCGTGAGAGAGGGCCTTCTCAGTGGCTATTCCCAGGCTTTGAAATGTGCTGCCCCAAGAAGCCAAGTTGGCCTCCTCCCTCTTGCCCTTCCATTATTGAACAAATACTACTTTTCAGGCAGGCTTTTAGGCAATAATTGCAGATCTCAACAAAGAGCAGCCAAATGCAAAAGAGAACAGAACTTCTGCACCTTCAATAGATGGGCAGAGTAGGGAATTCTGGGGATTAGGAAGATGCTCTTTGTTTACACTACACTGAAAAAATGGGGGGGAAATTCAGTAAGATATTTGCAACAGGCAAAAACTGATATCTATGAAGAAGTAACAATGGAATCCACAGTAAAACATTATTATTATTAAAGGAGATAGAAGGGGGTTCTAATAATTTCTGAAAATTGCTTTTCTGGGGATTATTAAGGAATGTGGAGTCTTAAATGCAGATATGTGCACAACACACAACTCACAATTGATACCTATGATTGTGGAAAAGCAAGAGAGTCTTGTAACACTGTGTGACAAGTTTTATTTTACATATAGTATTGTGGCTCCAACCCACTTCATAATGTATATTGAGTCCAATCTCAGAAGACAGATGTATTCATCAACATGCTGTGGTGGTACGCCGACAGAGAAGATGTGGAATGCAATAGAAATATAAAATGTGCTTTCATGTTGATTATCTCAATAGTTAAGTGATAATTGTTTAACAAACTTTGACAGCTATCATTCTCTTTGTTGGGTTTGTCTTGTAGCAGGTTGATCTTGGATACCAATCTGAAGCTGTTAATTTTCTTTTTTCATCATATTGAGTATTATTGTAGTTTAAGAAAATCTTGCTACAAATCCATGAAAAACAGGACAATTTCTACACAAATCTGTCATCAGAAATAGCAACAGAGAGAAATCTGTTTCAGAACAAACTTCAAGGGCAAAGGACAGAGAGGTTTTTTTCTTGTGTTTTAAAGGAGCCAGACTAAATAGGGCCACTTAAAGTGCAATACTGTATCATTTGGATGCAGGGTTTGCACCAAATGCCACACTGGACATCTACCTGTCTTTAAGCGACTATTGATAATACAGTACAGTACTTATTTATTGTACCAGTCATAGACCATGGCAAGATAAAACTGTTATAAACAATCAGCAACTCTATTTGGTCCACTCCAGCCCACTCCAGTTGAGCAATATAAAAAAACAATAACAACAAGAACCCTCAGTTATGGATCTCTAAGTGGCACCATAGAAAAATCAGGCTACTTTGGAAATTGGCTTTTTCTGAAGGATGCAGTTACACTCTTGGTTCATTTTATTTATTTAATTTAAAGGTAAAAGCTCCTTCAATAACTGCTTTGGACAGTAAAAGTTTTGAACCAGTTTGGATGTTAATCATCAACAAGTATGGACACCACAGTACATAATGTAGTGTAGTGGACAGAGTGACAGACTAGGTCTCTGGTGACCAGGGTTCAAGCCATAGAGACTCACTGCAGGAGTGGAACTTGTAAGACCACTCCTTAAATATCTCACTTACTCTGAAAGCCTTGTTAACATTGCTATTTTTCGACACATAACAAAAACAATACATGCTTAGAGAGCACACCTGTTGTGGGAGAGGAAAACTCACCAGGCACAGAGAACAAGCAGTGGGAAGGGATAGAATAGAATTTAAAGTACTGCAAAATGTGAAATTAACCAATCTGTCAGTTCAATCCAGCCTTCAAGACTGTTTGGGTGGGAAGAAGGAGAGATCTTGGTAGGCGTGTAGTAATATGAGATATTTTGAAAGTTTTCAAAGCATGGACTTTTTTGGGGGGGGGGGTCTGGCATCTTCAGTTGGTGCAATGTGTCCAATATCATGATCCTACATTCTCAACACTGAAAAGCCTGTGCTGGTTGCGAATTGTCTACTGGCCCCATTCAAAGTGCTGGGTTTTATCTTTAAAGCCCTAAACAGCTTGGGACCTGGTCAAAATACCCTCTAATTTTCAGCCCTGCTGGGTGGGGCTCCACATCTCTTTCTCTCTCTCTCTCTCAATGTCTTCCCATGTGTGTGCAACTCTGCCTCCCTGTGCGAGGGCGGGGTTCTGTCATGACCAGAACTAAAGGTGCTGCGTGGAAGAGGAGGACAGCTGCCTGGAGCGAGGTGGAGTCACGCACATGCAGTCTCACACCTTAGAGGGATCCTTGGATGTTGCTATCTAAAGGGATTGCCTATCTTGTTAGGAACCCACCAGATATTAAGGTCTTCAAGAGATGCCTCCTTAAGAATCTGAACATCTGCAAGGAAGGCTTTCCATGGCATGGTTCCCCAATTAGATTGCACCCTCTTGAAAATTGCAATCAGCTTCCACTCTCACCACTTTTAGGAAGGTTGTAAAGACACGTCTTTTAAACTGGTGTATAATCTTTAACTCCTTATAATGCTTTTAGTGGCTTGAATATTTAATTGATTGCAATATTTTTTAAAATGGTCATGTTGGTTTTATTTGATTTTAAATATTTTATCCTTTAATTCCCTCATTTGTTTTTCCTGCTGTGAAAAGATTGTAAGCTACCTTGAATGCTACTTTAAAAGGCAAGATGTAAATGTTGATGTTGATGATGATGATGATAACAACATCTCTTTAAGTGAAACATTCAGCATTCTAAGAAATTCTGTTCTTGAGGAAGATACCTTTGGATTTCTGGGTTCAGCTGAGAAGCTGCTTAAAGAATTCCACACCCAGTTCTTCGGCAGCCACTGCCTCTGAGTTAATTCATGGTTGCCAGATATGCCTCACCTTATTGCCCAGATAAAATCAGCTTTGTTTGACAACCCTTCTAAGAGTTGTTCCATTTTCAAGTAAAGAAAAAGGAAAGGTGAAAGCCTTTATTCAAAAACAGAGACAATTTTGTTGTCAGCTAATTTGTGCAGCCTCAAATCTCTTAGATCTGAAAGTCGACGGTTATAAGGTTGGTGAGGACAGCAGTGACTGAATTAACAAAGAAGCAGTAGATTTAGGACCCGGTGTTGCGAAATACAGATCATCTTAATACACATGTCCAGGAGGGCTCTTTGGGAATCTGGTGAGCGTGTTCCTCCTGCAACACCTTGAAAGTCCTCTACAAAGTAGCCTTTGGTTCCTCTTGCTTATTGAGCCAGAAACAGTTGTCAAAGAAAACCTGGGAAAATACAGTTTGTCTCCCATTTATTTCAGATCATTTGCTCTTTGGACTGTGATTTACTGATGACTCCCACCATGGTAGTGCCAGTTTGGGGGAAGCTATTCTCCCTGCCAGGACCACATGCTGCCTGGAGGTTAATGTGCTGTGGAACTTGACTGGCACGAGAGGCTATTATTTGCAGCATTATTAGGAAAGGAAAGGAAATGTAACTGCCAGCTCTTCTCCATCTGTATTTAGTTTTTGAAATATGAAAAGCATGGCATACCTTTAGGGTCAGGCTGGGACTTCAAAATTGTATTTTGACATGGTTTCAGAACCTTCTCTTGTACTTTTGAAAGCAACTTGATCTACCTGTCCCTGTGCTATGAGAAGCTTCCCCTGCTGATTAAGCTGCTGTTAAAGATATAGCCAGTATCTTGTTCAATATTTATGCATGTGGAACTCTAACTGCAGTTGTTGCCGTGGTGATCTGATGAGGCGCCAATCTCCCACTGTCACATGCCTTGATTCTATGACCTCGTTGTGTCCAGGCACACTACCAGCACCTTGCCAGATCACTGAGGCACCTTCTACAGTTAGAGTTCCACTTACACCGTAACATCTATAACAGCCAGAGCTTGTATCTAGTTAACATTTCCCCACACACACACACACACACATTTTTGAACAGCCAGAGCTTGTATCTAGTTAACATTCCCCCCCACACACACATTTTTAGTCTAAGCCTAGCAGTGC